TCAACTTAAACCCTAATTAGACTTAATTAAACCTTAAGCCTTACTTACATTAGGCTTAAATTAACTTAAACCCTAATTAATTATAACCCTAATTAGACTTAATTAAACCTTAAGCTCTACTTAAATTAGGCTTAAATCATCTTAAACCCTAATTACGCCTAACCCTAATTAGACTTAATTAAACCGTAAGATTTTTTTACATTAGGCTTAAGTATACCCTAAACCCTAATTAAGTCTAACCCTAACTAGATTTAATTAGATCTTAAGCTTTAACAAATTAAACTTAAGTATACTTTAAACCTTAAGTAAGTATAAAATATATCATACTTAATTAATCCAAATTCTTAGATCCAATCTACATTGGACCTAGCCCAAACCCGTAAGTTCAACCTAAATTGAACTTAAGCCTAAGTCATCTCAAACCTTAGATTTAATTTAAACTAAACTCAACTTACCGGAACTTCTGTAGGTCCAACCTACATCAGACCTAAACTTTAAGTCTAACCTACATTAGACTTAATCAAATTACCTTAGGTTCTACCTAAATTGAACCTAAGTAACCTCATACCTTAGTTTTTACCTAAATTAAACCTAAGTGACATTAAATCTTAGGTTCTACCTAAATTAAACCTAAGCAATCTCATACCTTAGGCTCTACCTAAATTAAACCTAAGTGACATTAAACTTCAGGTTCTACCTAAATTTAACCTAAATAACTCTATACCTTATGTTCTACCTAAATTGAACTTAAACCAGCTCATACCATAAGCTCTACCTAAATTGAAACTAAGTGATATTAAACTTCATGTTTTACCTAAATTGAATCTAAATAACCTATCTAAATTGAACTTAAATCATTCCATACCTTAGTGTCTACCTAAATTGAACCGAAGTGACATTAATATTTAGATTCTACTTAAATTGAACCTAAGTGACATTAAAATTTATTATCTACCTAAATTGACCTAAGTGACCTTATACTTTAGATTCTATCCACGTGGAAACTAAAATTTAAGTCTACCATACTGATGTTCTCATTTTCAGTGAGGTCTTAGTTTCCTACTCTCAGAACCCAAAATCTAGCCTTAGGAATTCCTTGTTGACCATCTTAGCAGACTAGAAATGGAGTCCACCTCCCGTAGAACTTCAAACCACTCATTGACTCATTTTTGTGAAGAACTCACATTAGTGGTTCAAAGCACTCAACTTCTAAATGCAAGGGCTAAGGACCAATATGTAGAGGGGCCAAAAATGAGCTCCTACATGATCAGACGACCTTAGGTGAACCCTCCGTGACTCAGCAACACGCTCGGTACACCACACAAGAAGTTGACACATTTTTGGCCCGACCATCAGCAAACTTATTTGGACGAACCCGGATGACGAAACAGAATGCGTCGACGCATCCAGAACGTAAATTTTAGACGGGAATGACACTCATGTTGCTAGGGTTACGCGCGCGCACAATCAACAAAAAAATCGATGCACCTTCTTTTAATTTATTTAGCGGGGTGTAGGCCCGGGCTCAACCCAGGTTCAACTCGGATTTGATTCGGGCTGGACTAGGGCTGAACAATGGTTAAACAATTTTTAAATTTTAAATTTTAAAATTTCAAATGGGTAATTTAATTTCATTTTAATTGATAGTTAAAATTTTATATTTGAGCGGCTGCATAAATGAACTCATTCAATTCCCCAGCAACGTGTCGCATAACGTTTCTCTCCGGAATTCTCAATTTACAAAAATAGCTTCTCCCCTCTCTGGTTTCCTCATTTGACTTCCCCCCTCTCGATCCTACTTCTTCTCGCTCGATCGAAGCCAAAGAAACCTCCTCTCCTTTAAACCGAAGCATTCACCGCTCACCTGCTCCTTTCGATCCTGCCACTTCTCCGCATCAAAGCACGCCTGATCAATCCCATCTCTGCATCTCACCTGCTAGCTACCCCTCTCCTCTCTTCCCCGATCGCCTCCCTCTTCCTCATCCTGAAGAAGCCCCGCTCTACGAGTCCCACTCGCCCCACGCTACCAAACTCTCGCCTCTACATCTTGGTGAATCGCGATCTTCTTCCTCGCGCAGAAGCACCTGCTTCGCCTCCCCTCTTGCAAACTCCCCTCCGCACCAAAGCACTCACCTGCTTTGCCTCTCCCATTCAACTCTCTTCTCCTCTGCTACGAGGCCCTCGTTAGCTTTCCTCCCTTCTTCCCGTTCGACTTTCCTGCTTTGCCTCCATTCTGGCCGAACAACATTAGTAACTCGACTCTCCCGCTCGACACCGAAACCCCAATTTGCCTGCTTCGCCTTCTCCTCTCTTGGCTCTCTTCTCCTCTGCACCCAGACCCTCGCTCGCTCACCTCCCTTCTGGCCGAACAACATTAGTAACCTACCTCCCTTTTCTCTCGACAGAAACCCACTCGTCTACTTCTTCCTCTGCCAAAATTTTTTTTAAAAAAAGAAGAAGACAACCAGCCAACTCTCCACACTTCATCAACCAAACCCAATCCAGCTCCCCCTTCCTCTCCTTCTCCGGCGAGCCTCCCTCCCTCCGGTGAACTTCCTCCTGTCAACTTCTTCCGATGGACTCCTTCCCCCCAGGCGACACTTCAACCATGTATACCTCCTCTTTCTCTTCTTCTTTGCCGCATACAAGGAAAATTCACATACATATCACTCAATTCAATATTTATTTGCACGCGCATACAACTTGAGTTACAAATATACCATTCAATTTTCATTACAAAAATATAATACCCAATTTTCTGTGTATTAAGTTACAAATATACCACTCAATTTTATGTACATTTATTTACACACATGTCACTCATTTTCTGTGTATTGACTTGTCTAAAAAGGAAATTTTAATTTTTTTATATATGTGTCACCTATTTATATTACCTGCTGGTATTTATGTGTGCATATTCTACTACATAATTTAAAACCAATTAAGCTTTCAATTTGAGGGGAATCTAGTAATCTGACCGAAGCAAAGACTTTAATCACATATGAACAAAAGAAGCTTGCAATTTGTGTAGCTCCTGCAATTTCATTGGATTCTTGGATGCTCAATTAACCGATTTAGAATGTCAAAATCCCTGAGGTTATTGAGAATAAACGACATGTGAATGGCTGGATTTATATTTGCATATAGAGCCTACTCAGATTATGCTTTTGGTATGCCATAAGAGATTTAGATGTTAATAAAATGTAAAGCTTAAGTGCTAGATATGCAAAAATATATGAAGAACTGGATGGTAGGAATGCAAAGACGAATGGAAATTTTTGGTAGCCTTATCTTTGATGCAAATCTGGAATTCATTTGATTTGGCTTTATGCAAAAAAATCTGAAATTTTATGAGGATTAGGCTCTCTTAGTGGGTTGATTTAGCTGTTGTCTTTGTAAGTTTAGTGAAGTTAACTTCCAATAAGAAGGATGAAAATGATGAATGAATTAAGGTCTTGGAGGTATAGTGATTTCCTTATTATTCTTAAAGTGTAGCTGAGAATGGCTTTTGGACACATGAAACGCCCGGGTTGGAATCTTTAGGGTGTCGATCCAAGTCTCACTATACATTGTATGTGGATAAGTCGGTAAATATGCAGGAATTGAGAACAAGTATACCCAAATTTCTCATGTTATGGGTAACATTTCACTTTATATTCTTTCTTGAACGCAAGTAATGTGGTAAGTAAAATTGGGCTTAAATGTTATATATGTGAATATATTGGAATTGAGTGACATACATATTCAATACACTTGAGTATTGACATATTTTTCATTATGTACATCTGCACATTTATATGCGTAATCTTTCGTTGAACTGAATTCTCATACCAATTTCTCGGTGTGCCTTTGCGAGGTAAATTCGGATGTGGTTGAAGCGTTAAATGATCGTGGAGCTACCCCTGGAACAGTTGAAAAGGGAAGACATCAAACTTCGCGCCAGTGAGATCTCTCCAAAAAAAAACCATTTATCAAAAATTCAACAACATTTTCAAAGCAAAACCATTTTTCAAAATTAAACAACATTTTCAAAAAAATAAAAATAAAAAACATAGCATGTAGCTAATGAGAAAAGACAATGATTGTCTTATGTTTGCAATCATATCATTCGATTTACTTACCAAAAAGACAACTATTAGATTACAAGCAGTTGTCGTATGTTGTATTTTGATTGTGATGGGACTCCCAGTCTCTTTATGGTCGTTAAGCAAGGAGATAAGAAGAAGTGTCAAGCACTAGAATAAGATAATATCGTCAAGCAAAAATAAAGATATTAAACATGAAAAAATACAAAATTTTGAAGCCTAAACTTAGTACAATAGAGGAATCTTAGGGGTAGAAAATACTAAATAACAAATCGTAGAGTAAACCCTGGTATCGATCTCAAAATATGAAACCTCAAAAGTCTCGATCTCTATATTTATTGTATTTTATTTTCTGGGCGGATTGGCTCGGGGTTACGTGTGCTATTTTCTCTTAGTTTAGAGTTTAAAATATAATATTTAGAATAAAATAATGGAAAAAAAATTAAAAAACACATGATGTATTTGAATGGACTTATGTACTTAAATGCATTATCTGGAGATAATAATTTTTGAGAATACGGAGTAGCACCCTCTCTCTCTCTCTCTCTCTCTCTCTCTCTCTCTCTCTCACATGGGAGGTGATTTTGGTCATCCAAGATAACCGAACATGGGCCCACAACTCAACCGACTAATGTAGAAGGAAACCAGTTTCGGTCCACCAAAAATTGACCAGCAAAATCAGCCACGTGGCAACTAACCTATGTCCATGATCTTCCGTAAATTTAAATGAATTAAAATAAAAAATAATAATAAATGAATAAATAGGCAAGTTTCATTTGCAGCAGTAATGCGGGTTTCCCTACTACGTCCAGGGCGGCTTTCGAACCGTTGAACCGCTGCGGAGAAGGGCATACCGGTACTTCTATAAATGTTGCGCGGGTATTATTCTGTTCAGAATACTTTAGGAGATGCTAATGGAAAAACTAACTGCTTCGTCCAAATCAAACCCTCACGGCGTTTCTCCTCCCATGAAAAAGTCCGCCAGGTGGGAGAGACTCGGATCCGATTTCTCGCAGACTGCTTCTCCTTCGCCCTCATCCTCATCAAGGCTTTCCTCGAATCAAAACCTCCGCTTGCAGCTCTGTCCGAGCGTATCTGCCCACCGAGCTCGCCGATCTCGTTTGGGTAAGTTTACAAACGTAATCGATCATCAATCTATGGCAAATAGTTGAAATTTTGATCGAATTGTTCTAAATTAATCAGGGCATGGAACACTTTCAGCATATTGGAGAGGTGCTTGGGAGCATCCGAGCCCTGATGGTCTTCCGCGAAGAGATTCGCATAAACCCACGGCAGTGTCAACTCCTATTAGATGCTTTCGAGGCTGCTTTTGCCATCGTCTCCGACAAGATGCGGCAAAATCTCCGGCTTGACGAGAAGCAGACGAAATGGAAGCCCCTTGAACATTCGCTGAAGGAGCTCTATCGTGTCTTCCGTGAAGGCGAGCACTACATTCGCCAATGCTTAGAGCCCAAAGACTGGTGTGGAAGAAGCGTCTTTCTCACCCAATCCGCCGACTGCGTCGAGCATCATTTGCATAATCTCCTCTGCTCCATACCTGTGATCCTCGAAGCCATCGAGAACATCGGCGAGGTGACCGGTGACTTTCACGAGGACATTCATAGAAAGAATGTGATATTCAACAAAAAGTATGCGAAGGAGTGGATGGAACCCAAGCTTTTCCTGCATAGGTTCGGAAAACTTTACCTTGTTTCACAAGAAATGTGCAGGAGAATTGATGTTGTCGCTAAGGAGGATAAATGGCTTTTATCGGAAACCATTGATGATTTGAGAAGCTCTATGTCAAAACAGGAGAATCGGTTGGCTGAGCTATTGAAGTTCCCTAGGGGAAAGATACTTCCAATCTCCACGCTTACAGGCTCGCCGGATTACCAGTTCAGACGGAGGATAGGCAGGAGCAGTCATCTCAAGGAGATTCAATGGTTCGGGGTCAGTTTTGCTCTAAAGCACGTTTTTTGTAATGTGGAACAGTTGATGCCAGAGATTTCGCTTTTGTCTTCTCTCACTCACCCAAATGTGTTACATTACCTGTACTGCTTCTCTGATGAGGAGAAAGAATGGTTCATGGTGATGGAGCTTATGGACAAGGACCTATCTAGTTACATCAAAGAGATTTTCTGTGCGAGGAGAAAGGTTCCCTTTCCGCTCTCTCATACTGTTAATATCATGCTTCAAATAGCACGAGGAATGGAGTATCTGCACTCTAAAAAAATCTATCATGGTGACCTGAAACCCTCAAATATTCTCCTGAAGACGAAAAACAGTTCATCATCTGATGCTTATGTTCATGTAAAGATTGCCGGATTGGGACAGTCTGCAGCAAGAGTTCCTTCGACTCCTATGACTGACACAGATCCCTGCATTTGGTATGCGCCAGAAGTTCTATCAGATCAAGAACACCAACTTGAAGCAGGGAATGTGAAAAAGTATACTGAAAAGGCAGATGTGTATAGTTTTGGGATGACATGTTTTGAGCTTCTTACTGGTAAAGTTCCATTTGAGGAAGGACATCTCCAGGGTGACAAGATGAGCAGAAACATAAAGTTAGGGGAGAGGCCTCTCTTCCCCTTTCCATCGCCAAAGTTTCTCTCAAATTTGACAAAAAAATGTTGGCATGCTGACCCGAATCAGAGACCGAGCTTCTCTTCAATTTGCAGGATGCTTCGATACATCAAGAATTTCTTAATCATGAATCCCGAGACTGGACAGCCAGGCCAGTTTTCACCTCCATTGGATTACTTTGACATAGAGATGAACCTGTCAAAGAAATTTGAGGGCTGGGAAAGGCGAGAAATGTCGCAGGTATATGATATTCCTTTTGAGATGTATGCTTATCGGGTAACTGAGAGGGAGAGGAACTCTGTAAATCTTAAGGAGAAGAATTCTGATTCAGGCAGTGAAACATCATTCAGTGGCGAGGAGAATCGAATTCCTGCAGAGAGTCATCCTGCTGTGATTCAGGAGGATGCATTGTCACTTTCTCATACTTCGTCTAGCTCTGGTTCTGTAAAATCAGCTGGCAATGTAATCTCCAACGGCCCCAAGAAGGCTCTGTTTAGAAAGGTTGAGATAAAGCCACAGACAAAACTGCAGACCAGCAAGCAGATAGGTAAAAGTTTGATTCATCTTTTGGAATGCTTAATTTCTTTGGTAACTGCACATGTGGTTGCATGCAGATAGAAATTGTGTTCTACATACTGAAAACCTTATGTTTGAGAGGGTTTAAAGGGGCTTGTTGAAATTAAAATGATGAATCTGCAAAATTTTGCCATTGTTCTAAAACATCTTTTCTAACTTAAAATAACTTAAAGAGCTCCATGTTTAATTGCTCCTTCATGGAAACAAAGAAAATTTTCCTCCCATGTCTATAAGTTGTTGAGTTATGTGGAGCCTGGTCCACTTCGCTCCTATTTTGGCAATTTCAGCATCTATGGAAGTTAATTAAATTGCTTCTAATATAATTCCTTCTATATTGTTTTGACTTTTGTAATTCTTGCCTTTATTATTGCCATGCCTCCTGCATCTCTGCACATGCTATCTCCCGCCTCCCTGTTATGGAGAAAAAGGAAAGTGGCTTCCGTGACAGCGGGGAAGAAATTAAATTTCTCTATTTGTGTGAATTGCTCTTGGGCTTCCTCCTTTAATTGGACCTTTTGGCTAGGCTGCAGGCGTGAGCAAGGATAGAAGCAGAACGCAAGGTGCTCTGCCCTTCTTGGTTGCTTCGGCGTGTTGCTTCTGGGAAGAAGATTCGGTGGCCCAGCTCTTCCTAATGTCCTCTACTTCAGGCGTTGGTTTACATAAGAAGCAAAAGCATTGCAGGCAACTGAGCTTCTTTTAATTCTTCTGTCTTGTAGCTCTTTATTAGGAGAGAGGAGAGGAAGAGGAAGAGAGACAGAATGATTCTGTAATCATCGAGGCGATCGACAGGTATAGTCATCAAAGTAATAAAATCCTCTACAGCTTCGTGGACCTTGGCAATTTGGCGAACCACTTAAATCTATATGTCTGCTTGTTCCGCCGTTCTTTTCTGTTTGCGAATTTTCTCATTCCAATTTTTTCTTTATTGCCGTCGTTTTTTCACAACAATGGTATCAGAGTCTTGGTTCCGATTAGAGGAAGAACGAGGGCTGAGGATGAAGTGATGACATCAGGGATCGAGAAATTTGATGACACAAATTTTGGTTACTGGAGGATGTAGATCGAAGACTATCTCTATGGGAATAAACTTCATCTTTCGTTCCTAGGAAAGTGACCGGAGAATATGGATGAAACTAATTGAAATCTGTTGAATCGACATGTTCTGGGGATTGTTCAATTAACCCTGTTGAGATTCATTGCCCACAACGTCATCAAGGAAAAAACTACTGCAAATCTTATGATTGTGTTATCAGGTATTATGAAAAGCCATCGGTTAATAATAAGATGCACTTGATGAAAAATTTATTCAACTTAAAGGTGATAGAATGTACATCTGTTGCATAACATCTGAATGATTTCAATACTATCACAAATTAATTATCATTTGTGGAAATTGAATTTGAAGATGAGCACGTGCACTGATATTGTTGGCTTCATTGCCAAATAGCTGGGAAGCCATGAAGATGGAAATTAGCAATTCTGCAGATAATTTTAAGCTAAAATATGATGATATTCGTGATTTGATTTTGGCTGAGGAGGTGCGCAGGAAAGATTCTAGCGAGATCTTGTGTTCGAGTTCGACACTGAATGTTGATTCAAGAGTGAGATCATAGAACAGAAACTCAAACAGAGGAAGATCAAAGTCAAAACGCAAAGGTAAAACAAGTCAAGGTCTGGTCAGTAGACAACTTGCTAAAATTATGGCAAAGATGACCAGATAAAAAGTAACTGCAAAAATTAAGACAGAGAATGATAGCGCTAATGTTGTAACTGAATAAGTGCATGATACACTATTATTGACAGTTGATAGTTTTGTTGATGATTGGATATTGGATTCAAGGGCTTCTTTCCATACATCTTCCTACCGTGAGTTAATGCGAAAATATATTGCAGGTGACTTTGAGAAGATATATCTGGCTGATGGAGAAGCTCTGAACGTGGTGAGGATGAGAGACATTGGCATAACACTTCCCAATAAGATCAAATAGACTTTGCAAAAGGTCAGACAAATTTCTGAGTTGAAGAAAAATCTCATTTCAGTTGGGCAGCTCGATGAGTGTGGACATACAGTAGTGTTCTCAGATAGCTCCTGACAGGTTACTAAAAAAACACTGGTACTGACTCGGGGCAAGAAGACTGATACGCTGTATATGACTATTGGTTTGATTAACAATATTGATACTACCACTGCAGAAAACACGATAGATTTGTGGCATGCAGTATTGGTCACATGAGTCAGAGGTGCATGAAAGGACTTCAGTCTAAAGGCAAGCTACCAGAGTTGAAGTTAGTTTATCTCAGCATGTGTGAGAATTGCATTATGAGAAAGCAAAAGAAGGTCATTTTCCTGAAAAGTGACAGAACGCCAAAGGCAGGAAAACTAGATCTTGTACACACAGATGTGTGGGGACCTTCTCCAGTGGCATCTCTTGGAGACTCTTGTTACTATGCCACATTCATTGATGACCACAGTACAAAGTTACGATTTGTTGATCTATCAAAGGTCACAGTGCAGGACAGTGATGGAAGTGATGAGGAGAGTGGGTCAGAGACAGCAATTCCTATTGTTCCGTTGTCAGTTTTAGAGCCGTCCACTCCTATAGCTACAGTTCGCAGGTCAGTAGGGATAGACATTCTCCTCAGCATTACTCACCTAACTTGAACTATATTTTGCTGACAGATGGTGGAGAACCACAAAGGTATGAGAAAACCTTGTAAGATGAAAATTCGAGTAAGTGAGAGCTGATCATGAAAGAGGAGATGGACCTGCTGAGAAATCAGACATGGAAGCTGACAGAACTTCCATCAAGGAAGAAGACATTGCACAATAAGTTGGTGTACTGGGTGAAGACTGAGCTTGATGACAGTACTAGGTACAAGAATAAACTTGTTCAAAAAGACTTTTAGCAGCGATAGGATATTGCCCATGTAACGGGAGTTGTAAGCAGATTTATGAGTAACCCAAGAAAAAGCTTGGAGGTACAAATCTATTTTAATACTGTTATGTCAACTAAGGGTATTACTCTTGAGAAACTGAAGTTGTGCACAGCTTCAGTTATTCTTCTAGTTTGAAAACAGGGGTTTTGAGTTGCAGAGATGAAGGATATCTTGTTTGAAGGAAATGAACGGTATAGTCAGTGAATAGTAAAGCCAATGTCCCATTCTCTAAGTGAGAGAATTGTTGAGTTATGTGGAGCCCGGTCCACTTTGCTTCTGTTTTGGTAGTTTCGACATCTATGAAAGGTAATTAAATTGCTTCTAATATAATTCCTTCTATATTGTTTTTCCTTTTGTAATTCTTGCCTATATTATTGCCTTGCCACCTAAATCTCTCAGCATGCTCTCTCTAGCGTCCCTTTTATGGCAAAAACGGAAAGTGGCTTCCGTGACAGCAGGGAGCAAATTAAATTTCTCTATTTTTGTGAATTGCTCTGGAGCTTCCTCCTTTAATTGGACCTTTCGGCTAGGTTGCGGGCGTGAGCAAGAATAGAAGCAGAAAAAGGGTTTCGCAAGGTGCTCTCCCTTTCTTGGTTGCTTTGGCGTGTTGCATCCAGGAAGAAGATTCGGTGGCCCAACTCTGCCTAATGACCTCTACTTCAGGTGTTGGTTTACGGAAGAAGCAAAGGCATCGCAGATAGCTGAGCTCCTTTTAATTCTATTGCCCTATAGCTCTCGGTTAGGAAAGAGAAGAGAGGAGAGAAAAAGGAGGAGAGAGAGAGGAAGAGAGAGAGAATGATTTTGTATTTGTCGAGGCGATCGGCGGGTGTAATCCTCAAAATAATAAAATCTTTTGTAGCTCCGTAGACATAGACAATTTGCAGAATCACAAAAATTTGTGTGGCTGCTTGTTTCTTTTATGTTTGCAAATTTTCTCATTCAAATTTTTACTTTATTGCTGTCTTTTTTTCACAACACAAGTGGCTTTCAGAAACATAATAAATTAGATTACCATTCCTAAATTGCAAAGATAAACGAGTTGTTACAATGATTGTTAAATTGAGTAATGTGAAAATTACCAACTTGTTAGTCTCACTCTTATAGAGAGAAGTGAAAAAATGGTCTGTTTTCTCTTTGCATGGAGGCTATTTTAGGCCCATGGTTTATAAAAATATCAATTTTGACCCAGACGTTTTCAATACAAGCTGAGATAGTCTCCGGTGAGAACTATTTTAGCCCTTATTAAACAAGTATGGGAACTAATTTAGCACTTTCATAACTGTGGGACGAAAATGCTCTCATGTAACAGTCTTGGGACCATTTTGGCACTTTATTATACCAGGTTCCCATCTTCAGTAACGAGCTCAGGCGTTCTTTCTGAAATGGCAGCAGTACCACCACTTCCCTTGCCACTCTCTCCAGTGTATGGTAATCATGTATTTGTAACTAACTCATGCAATGGCATCAGGCAATTATGTTTCTCTATAATCCTCACTATTAGATATGTATAACACCTGTAATGGGAAGGTTGTGTTTAATGTAATGTAATCGAAATCCCAGCCAACTGAGGCTAGCTTTTGCATGGAATACCTGTTCTTCTTCTCTCTGTTTTTGTCCTTCCTGTAATCTTTCCTAGTTTCTTATGGTATCAGAGCAGTGATCCGCTCCTGTCATTCAAACTCTCTTCGTTTATTGCTGTTACTTCCAGTTCGAAACAATGGAAACTTCTCAAACTTCAGAAACACGATGTAACTCTTCCACAGAAAGTGTACTTACTCGAAGTATCCCTCCCAATCTTAAATTTCTGATGAGCAATATTAATAATATTGCCCATACACAGCTGTCTGCTGAGAACTATCCCTTGT